GAAACCGCGAGCCTAATAAGACTAGATTCGCCTTCTACCCACGTATAGGTTAATTAGAAACCTCCCACCCGTAATGCCACTACTAAAAATTGGGTAATTCAGGTCCAGGGGAAAGCCGATCGATATCGTTGGATTTGAGAAAAGTGTTGATCGATTTCCGACCGCTTTTAATTAATCGGAAAAATAATTGTCGCTAAAGTGTTGCGACGAAATCGCGTCGAAAATTTTCCGACCCCAAAAAAGGGTTTTTTAGTTCTTTTTACTCTTTAATATTTTCCCGTACACCTATGATTTAAAAGAAAGAATTACAAAACATGAAAAATTTTTTTTGTTTTTTCTTTCTCCTTTATAGATTAGCAGCCTGCATTTAAATCACTCTTTTTTTTCTTTTTGATGTATCGATATGCAAAACTCAATTTAATCGACTAATTAAAATTCATACCGCGGCATGAATCACTTAAAAGGAGAAGTACGCTCTATCAAAACTTGTTGTTTATGCCTCAATTGAGACTTTTAGTTATAGGGTAAAACAATCTTCATTCTATTCGATGCACTCCTTGGTGCATAATTGGAGTTACAATTTTTATTCATACTATATATTAAACTAATAAATGCAAGATGCTTATTTTATATAATATATATATCATTTAACGATAACTAGATAAGTTATATGTGACCAACAAGGTTTTGGTGGAGTGGTAAAGTACTCCTTCATCCTTAACCAGACGGGTCTCGAGTTCGAGCCCCGGGTATGGAGTCGCCTTTGTTAGGGACGCTTTACCCCCAATGTGAGACTTCCGGTGCAATTCGATTTAAGTGGGCCCCAATATGGATATCGGTACACCAATAAGAAACCAGATATATGTGTTCTCATTTTTTAATTTTACTGCAGATTAATTTATTTAAAATGATATAAACACCAATAAATATTCACCCTGGCATATCACATCACATATTCACTTACTCAGTTGGATCAGTTTGGCATTTGTCTTTCTGTTAACCTACTGCCACACTAATGCACCTTGCACATGCTTCTAGAGACTAATTATGACCTAATTAAAGTAAATCACCATTGCCACAATATATACTCCTTCGTTTCAAATTATCAGTCATTGATTTCTTAAAAATAGTTGTCTCAAAATTATCATTTAGAGGTTCAAGACTAAGTTAATTATATTTTTTTATTCTCACCCTTATATTAATTGTTCTTGAAGACTTACAAATACTTCAATTATGATAAATATTAAATGAAAAGAAATTATATCTATCAGACATAAAATAAGGGTAAAATAACCAAAAAACTCTTTCCACTTAATTTTCTTAAGGGGCGTGTAAAAGAAAAAACACAACAGATTAATTGAAATGAAGGAAGTAATGGATAATTATCGTTCACAAATTAAAGAAGTATAATATTATGTCTATTTTTGGGGATAGAGGGGTCAATAAATGTTTTTTATTTTACGTTAGAATAAATAGAAAATTTCATGAGTATTTAATATATTTTCATTTTACTACTATATTTATATTGAATTTCTCCCTCTGTTTTGCTCTTCTCTCTAGAAAATCCACTATTGACTAACAAATGATATGATATATCGAATTTGAATTTGGAATGGCAAATTTGAGTAGTTTGCATTGAGGTTAACCAAGTAATGGTGTCGAAAAATAAACTTACTTGGACAATTTTAAGACAATATATGCAATATTTTATAATAAATAATCAAACTAATTTAACATTGAATGATTCAAAGAACAAATTTTTTTATATATAGGTATTAAAAAATTCCAATTCTGGGGCTAGAGATATCGATAAACTTAAAGTGGAGTCATACTGAAATAAAAGTCTGGCCAAAAAATCATTTAAATTTTTTAGATAAAGCCGATTAAAGTGAATTATAAATTAAGGATAATATCTTCACTTGCATCATTATAAAGATAATCATTATTATAACAATATATAAAGTTTTTAGAAATGATAATTTTCAAAATAGAAATATTTTTGAAAGATAAAATCAGTACCAAATAAGAAGTTCAAGTCTCGTAGTATAAGAGTCAGCGTCGTAATCAAAGAATCGTTTTATATCGTGTTCAACCTGTTGTGCTTTGCCATAAACTATAGTTTATTATTTCACTTTTGGGCTATTTTTAGGTCCAGGTGACACCTATTGAGAATAGTGCAAAAATAAAATTATCACTCGAGAATGAGAAAATGTTAGTCTTGTTCATGTAGGTTTCTTAATTAATATTTGACGATTATCTATAGATTATTTAGGAAGTAAATGTTAATAGTTATTTACATATTAATTCAAATAACTCAGATATTAACATGGTTAATGTCAAATATCAAAATTGGTAAGTTAAAAAGTAATTCACTACTAAAGAATTTATATTTTTAGATAAGCCAAACTAAAATTGATTTCTTGAATTAAGAATAATATCTTCAATTACATATATAAATAGTTATTATTGAAAAATAATGTTTAGAAAACTGAAATTTTAAGAAAGAAATATTTTTTATAAGACAATAGGAAAATACTATTGTAGCTTTTGGGAGCTAGTTGGAGCTCGGATTCAAGGAAAGTAACACCTAAAAAGTACACCAAATGGAGATCCACTGTACAAACTAGCAGATAAATTAGATCTGTTGAAAAAGGATCTACATCAAATACTGAGGGGATTCCAAAGAAGCCGGGATGACGGACATTTATTATGGCCTAATACAGAGTCCTAACCAGAAACCACTGGAGCTGAATGTCAGCTCTATATAATAGCAATGAAACAGTGTGACTGCATGTGAATATCATATATAACAGTTAATCCAGTGCCAAAGATCAGCGGGATTCGGAGTAGGCTAAGAAGCAGGCAAATCCGCAGGTGCATGGACAACATGCTGGGATGTAGCTGGATATCTCTCTCT